TTGATCTTAATCTTGCTAAGAAAATAATCAAGGTAGGTGTATTGTAAGAACAAATTGATCTTTGACATATAAGGTGACTTTACTTCCACAAATCTCAGTGTACGGCCATGCCTGACTGTTTCTACACAAAACTTTGAAGGCCGTTTGTACAGTAATGTGTTAAACGTGGACTCTGTGGTAGATTTTAATTCTACATTAGATTTGTTTATTTGATATAACCGTCACACAGAGTGATACAGTATTATTTACTTGATGACAACGTTTCGAGTATAAATTATTGCTTAAAGCTATATAAATGTAATTGCATGACTTTCAACATCTGATTTTTTCATAGTTCTGTCACCTCATATTTTTTCTTTTTATAGGTAGTAAACTTTTCCATATCTCTGGTATAGGTGGGCGTTGCTTCATTCCTCTTACATATGTTGGGAGTGTTGATCGGGTGAGCAAAGATTCAATAATCAATCTCTCTCTCTCTCTCTGACTATTTACACTAGTCAAATGTTTGATGCATCGGGCAAGAATTATCTGCTCAAATGATACTTTCGATGAAAAGAACTTCAAGTTATCGACTACCTAATCAGTATCAATGGATATCCAGAAAAGTTTCTAGCTAAAAATGTGAAAATACCTAATGTAAAAATCAAAGAACCTACAACTTTCTAGGTGACTTCATTACTGAAATTGTGACATAGTGCCTAAGAAAAGTCATAAGAAGATCATTTAATGTAGCAAAGGTACTCTCTGAATTCTACCGTCAGCCGATGATGACCTGACGAACCAAAGACGTACTATCTGACTTCGCCTATTCTATGTGCATTTAACAGTTCAGTTGCTGCTGTGGAGCAAGTTCTATTGAGTTTATAGTTAGGCAAGCCGTTTGTCGAATCACCGAACATCATCCGTCCCGGTTAATTGAAGAGATTACAACATCGATACGGAGCCCGATACTCTCTTATCTGGTTAACACAGGTTATTGAATTAATATTCACAAAGCTGTTGAAGTTTTTTTTTTACCATATTCCTTCTAATCTCACCTATTCTCTACGAGTTTGTCTCTCACGTACAGTAACAGTTATCGTTTCCCCTTTAGATTACACTCGACCGTCTGGCCTGGCCTGGAGCATGATGTCCTCAATCGGCCTTCTCAGTGTATGCCTGATCCATCTCCACTTCCTTCCAGTGTATATTTGTTGGGTGATAGGTTCTTGGTTGGTTCGTTCCCAGAGTTCATTGTTGCTTATTCTTTCTAGCAATCTCATCTTCAGTATCGAGTGAGCGTAGATGGCAGCTGTTGATGAATGTCTGCAGTTTGTTGGAAGTGCTTTATGTAACGCGTAAACTTTGTGAACCATATAGCAGCACTGACCTCACTGACACTGGTGTTGAAAACCCGGATGTTGTTCAGGCTTTGTGCTGAGTGCAGTAGATCTGCACACTGATTTCAGATTAATAAAAGAAGGCCTACCCTGCTTTTCCGATTCTGGCTTTGACGTCGTCATCTGCCTTGCCTGGGGTAGGTGAAAGAGTCTACTTCCTTCGGGTTTATCTCTCCCGTTGATGGTGATTGGCGCTTGTTGTTGATAGTGTTGTTGGTTGAGTATTTTCATCATCTCTGTCTTCTCTACATTCACTTGAAGTTCTGTCTTCCTTTGCTGCCTCGCCTCTTCTGTCAACTTGTTAGTTTTCACCTATAGATCTTCAAGTTTGTGCGGCAAGACATAAGACATAAATCATCATCGATGGCGAAATCCAAATCTGCTTCTGGGGTCTTTTCATCGTTGCAGCCAGCGTATGCCCATCTCCTCGCACCTCATGGTTTGCTGCATGATGCAGTCGACTACAATCAGGAAGATGATGGGTGATAGTAGGCGTCAACCTTGTTTTCCTCCTGTCTTCACTTCACTTCAAAGGCGTTAATGAGTTTTGCATTGTTGGCCGCTTGACATGTGGCGTTATCATATAGCTGTGGAATGAGGTTGATAAAGATTTGTGGCAGTAAAACGGTAGTGTTGAAGCAGCTGCCTGCCAAATTATATCTCGGTTGAGGCAGTCGGACGCCGGCTTTTACAAAGTCGATGAAATAGATGTAGAGATGCAGTTGACTGTTATTCAGTGGTCTGTTCTATAATGATGCGTAGCGTGGAGTTGCAATCTGATCCACACATGATTTTCTCTTCTTGAAGCCAGACTGATTGTGGTAATATGTTGAGTGTAAACGTTTTCAACCAATTGGTGATCAGACATATTGAGTTAAGTTGGCTAAATCCTTTTGTTTTGCTAATCTAACCGACACAGATCAGCTAGTTTGACCTCATAGTCATTACATGGAATTTGATAGATCAGATTATTTTGGTTAGTTGGATCTATCATAGCCTTAAGCTAGTCGACAAAGTTTATCTCTTAGTGAGTTCGTAGGTTTCAGAAGGCTATCCTAATTCCAGCTTCCTTGAGAATCCTACGTAAAATTTCTGATTTACTTTTCTATTAGGGTATCTTAGTGGAGGTATTGAACTCCTTTCTACTCGTGTTGTCGTTATTATTCGTACTCATATTACTCTTATTATTTTGTTACTAACGTATTCTTGCCAATTCCCAAATAAACTGAAGACGATAATTATTAATGATTAACCCCTTTCTTATGTGTTTCAATTCCTTATTCAAGTCGTTATAATGACCAGTGAGTTTTCTAGCTCTATCACTTAGGCATTGGACTACACCTGCTTTAACTGACTGACATTGGATGAGATGACTTGAAGTCTAAATACCTGTTAGAATGTGTCGGTTTCCTATGGATGGTAGTAACTGAACTACCGTCTGCTCCCCGTTTTACTCTGCAATCGAACGTTTATAATTATCCTTTTTCATTTCCTATCTCGTAAATGAATTGGATTGCATCTACTACTGATTTATATGCGTGAGGATATTGTTAATGTGTTCCTATGTCAACACAGTAAATGCGTCATCTACATTTAGTTATCGATACTCCTTCTGTGTATCCATTTATTTTGTCCTGTTTTAACACTAATTAAACACTCCATAAAAGATTATTTTACATGAGATTCTATTTAGCAGTTTACATGTGTGTATGATCGCACATGCATAGGGAGAGTTAATCAGGCCACGCTGTTGAGGTTAAAAGAACATGTGTCTGAATGGTTTCAAAAATAGGTGTCGTGTAAAAAGTTGATAAGTACAGGTGACAGATGACACTGTTCGTCTGTAGCTAAACATATTAGAAAATTAATGTTTAAACAGCTTTCAAAATTTTGTATAGAAACAGTCATTCAGGGATCCCCTATTATGTTAATTCTTATATTTGTCCTCCCACTCTCTGGTTTCATATATTCGAAACGTGTTGCGTAAATACATCACATTGCTCAGATTAACCGTTTCTTCTTCTAGTGACTCTGTGGTTCCAAATTCTGAGTAAGCCACAGTTTTTTTCCTAGGCTTCATGTCTCCAGCTTAGTTAGCATAGTTTTATTCACCAAGACTTTTCAGATGTCATCCAAAGGGATTTTTACATTCATTAGTTCAAGTGGTTATAAGATAAGACTATGAATTGAAACCAGTTGTGTTTGTGTATGTCAGGCATGTTTGGCGTCTTCAGTTTATCTTGTTTGATAGCTTTGTTTTGTTTAGGTTTATTTTTGCGCAGACTTTGTTTCCATCATGCTGTCGTCACATTCATTTTAGAAAAAACTACTACTACTACTCATATTGTACTCGGTTTGTTTTGAACTGACTAAATACACAGTTGAACAATAGCTCATTTTCACGGTCTTCTATAGATGGTCGAAAGTGTTTCAGAACCCACCATAGTCCATCCTACATCGACTGTATCGGTAATCAAATACAATATAATTCAGTTAATCCGAGTAATGCATTACAGACAAAGTGTAGTAGATTACTCACTAGACGTGTTAGCTTCAGAGGTGATATGTCCAAAAGATTCAAGCATTTGGTCTTGGTAAGCTGAAATGGGAATACTCAAACCTTATCTTTCCAGATTATATCGTTCATATTTATTCAGTTGCACAAGCTGGTCATTTAGATTGTAAAACTGTATTAAATTCCTCTCCATTTGGCATTTCAAATATCATATTCAACTATGAGTTTAACTTTTCGAAGTTCATAAATAATTTTACAATTGAATCAATTTTGGGGATCAAGAATGCTTAAGGATTACTTTGGCTATCAGACTGGTTTTCGTCTATGAATTTGTTGAAGTTGAAGTTAAGACGAAATTGGGAATTCGATAAAAAATCTCTAATTGATGCACCTAGGCATCTACCAAATGGGGTACTAAAGTCAATCATTAAATATACCTCAGTACGTCTTCGATAATATGAAATTTATCTACACAATTTACTTAAAATCTTCAATCCAGGAATTTGAGATAAAATGTATGGCACCTGGGAACTTTATCGGCATGTAAGACTAGTCTACTCGCCAAGAAAGGTGAAATGAAAATTTGCACCGAGGCCGGATTCGAACCAGCGACCACCGGGTTTTCGACCAGGTGCTCCACCAAATGAGCTACGAAGCTTGACTGCTGGCCAGATTTTTATTTCATTTCAATCGTCAAGGGTTTTACCCGTCTAACATATGAGTTCGTGACACGTTACTACCGCTTGATCGTATTCACACTTGTTGTCCAGTCAAGAGTTCTTATCCCAATCCAAATCTAACTGGATCAGAGAGGAGGCAGATCATACTGATTATTATCTGACTATCTGAGATAGTCGTGCGTGGTTTGGCAGACGAGTATTCATACTAAGTAATGATTGAAGACGAAATGAAAATTTGGACATCGGTGGGACTTAAACCATCGGCCACCGGGTTTATGGCCAGATGTTCTATCAAGGCCAAAACAGTTTTTCCTTGAATATATTCATTCAATATCGATGACATAATATTTACCACGATTGTCTATTTAAGGGGAAAAATATATATATATATATCCACATGTTAGAAAACTAAAACTGCTATATAAACACACTGATTAGCACACACAAATACATGTATACACCATCTTCGAAAAAGAAAACCAACCAATCATATCAGCTTTTTTCAAATCGCCCACAATGGATTTTTTGTGTGGATTGTTTACCGTTGAAAAATGAGTATATGTGTATGCATACATATGCGTGCTTCGAAAAGTTATTGACTATGAATTTTACTATAAATACGACATCATAATGAATTATGTTTTTCAAAATTATTTATTTAATTATCAGCATTTTTGAAAAGCTTATCAATTCATTAAAAAATGCAACGAATATCGGGAATTCTGTACACATTTTAATTTGACAATATTGAACGTCGAACGTTTCAAAAAATCACCCGCCAATAATTAACTTTCTGTCTGTTTAATTTAAACAAACAATATCAACACTGTTCAATGGATAAAAGTATAATTTGGTTATTTTTTATTGTAATATACTGCTTGTTAGTCGATTCTATTCACGGTATCACTAGGTGAGTTACGTTGCTTATTTTGTTGCATTGAACCCATTGAACGTACCTTGTCTTACTATTTGTGTGAAATGCGGTTATTCAGTCGAAAATTTTTAACATTCTTAGGATGGCATAATTATTTTTATATCATAGTATTGTTGATTGGACTAAATTGATCGTTCTCTATTGGCATATGGGCTCCTGTGTGGCTGCCTCGATATCACCTGTGGTCTAATGATAGTAACGATGGATGGCGGATAGCAGTGAAAACCACCGTGCACATTTCGTCCCATTTGGGACTCGTCAGCTGGATGTGCACATCCTAGATTCCACTACTAGCCGCTATCCATCACTACTATTCTTAAGATGGATTTGTAAATAAATTGTACAGAATAGCTAATTGAATGTAGAAATTTTAATGTCGACAGTTTCGTCTAGAATTGTTGATTAACCTTTTTAGTTCAGAAGGATGATTTTGTTAGTGTTCTGCTTAATAATGATTAAACTATCTAACTCAAGTAGCGACACAGAGCCAAAAAGATTGTATCTGAGTAGGTACTGGAAAATTTCCATATACATCAGCCATCAGTTTTAAGTGAACCAAAACTTGATATAATGTTTTGAATACTTTTATGTTCCTTGATTATCGAAATCGCTCCCAATCATGATGTACTGTACAGTTGAGATTAGTTTTAAGGTGAGCGAGGCATCAAGATGATGAGATTTTTTGGAGCAGTTGTTAACTTTGTTGGTCCAGATAGAGTTTCGCCGAGTTATTTGGACTATTAGATACCACTAGGTAAGGAATACAAGTATATTTAGCGTTTACCATATTGCATATCTGGGATATCTTAGTACTGTAGGGGAATACAACACTTTCACCTGCTGAAATGTTTGCCTAGATACATTTACAGTCAATTTATTGGGTCTTTCTAATCACTTTTAGCTTCATCACCTCACTCAGCATATGAATCTAAACGTGTGGAATACCTTAGATAACTAGAAGGCGATTCTTTCACAACCAGCTGAAATATTTATTAATCCAGAAAAAATAACCCATCTAAACTAATCTATACCGAAAATCTGAGCGACTTAATGTACTATTTTATACATTGTACTATTTCTTAATTTATTCTCTTCCCCATACATGTACACAAAAAAACACTGAGGACTGAAACTCTTGTTAGCAATTTTTTAAAACCATTAGTGACTCTTCATCTGCTCTTTGAAGAAATCTTCATCTTCACTTAAAGAAAACAAAAGTTTCATGCTTCAATATTTTCATTTTTGGCCCCCGAAATCCAACGTCGAAACATAAGCCGGTATATGCACAACTGGATTGATATTGTTACCAATTAATTCAATATTTTCTATAAACATAGAAAAAAGGATAGAATTTATCTTTTTTAAGTAACTGAAGGAAAGTAGGATCTCACACAGTTATCTATGATGCTTGTCTAACATATCAATATCGGTATCGATAAAGGGAATCAGATTGATCACCATCGTAGGCTGATATCAGCTAGGATCAAATTAGAAACTGTGAAGTATAAGCTGATATATAGGAAACTTCATTGTTGCATATCCATACGGCCAGAGGTATTGATGTTGAGGTTATTTAGCTCCTGAAAATGGCATATTACTGTTCACTCACTAACACCATGGTTACTAACCTTTAAAATAGTGGAGAATATATGTAGCTCAGGTGGATGGTCTTGATTGTATTATGTTCTCTGACAATGTATTGCGTGATTTTATGTTTTTTTTTTCTGGTAGAAAGTTGAAAGGAAGCATGGATATAAAATCCTTCACCTAAACACTTTTGGTATTCCCGAGATATTGACAAAAAACCACAAAGAGATAAGTATAGTTCAAAGACATTGAATCATTGAATCAGTGAAAATAACTAGCTGTCCAAATGAACCTTCTCTGAGTGTAACACTGGTAAAGGCAGCCTAAAATGAGCAAAACAGTGATCCCGTTTTATGATCATTCCTATCTGTTCAGGCAAAGAAACGTTATCTTTTCATATCGAACAGTAAGAAGTATTTAAATGATGGAAATACCCGCAATATCGAGACATCGGGTCAGTGACCCGTATGCTAACAGAGACCGGTCAATTCCGTCCACTCAACAGTGGGATAATACAAGCTACAGCTTCATTATGGTGTATGTTACAATCTTAGGTAAATCAATGCACTTATCTGTCTGGTGGGTGAAATCCACCGGGATACATTGCATATATGATATGTTCAACAAATTGTCCAGACAATAAATTGAAAACCAATGTAAAAAAGTTCCATATGTATTCTCAGCATTTGTTGAAAAATAAAAATGGAACAAGCTGTTTTATGAAACAAAATAGGGATTTCACTCCCTGAAAAACACTGATAGTCAACTAGACGTCGAAAATAAATTTTCAAAACATTTGTCTCACTAGAAATCCCACAGTAGTGCTGTGGATATAAGGTCTGACAAAAGAATAAGAAGAAATAGTTTGCAACGGTGGATGGTGGTTAGCAGTGGAATCCAAGATGCGCATTTCTTCCTATTTGGGACTCGTCAGCCGGATGTACCTGCCTCCCAGTGAGCAATGTTAGTCCGAACCGGGATTCAAGCGCGGAAGCGATCACTTCGAACGCCAAAGCCTTATCCACTAGATCATCGAGCCACGATAGCCACGTCTGGTGCGACGGGTATAGTTATAGTATGATTGTTCTTATATCATACCGTCGTCCATTAGACCTAATTGGTGGGTGCGTATTGGCATATAGGCTCCTGTGTGGATGCCTCACTGGGAGGCAGGTACATCCATCTGACGAGTCCCAGACAGGAGGAAATGTGCATCCTGGACTCCACTGCCAGGCACTATCCATCATTACTTTAATTAAAACATGGGTGACATCGAGGAGTCAGCGCAGGAACCCATAATGCCAATAGAAATTGATCAATTTGGTCCAATCAACGACGGTATAATACAAGCAATAATACTAGAAATAATTGGTGTTTCCATCGTGGAATGTATTAATACACAAAAGACTTTTAACAACAGTGTAGTAAAAGTTTCTATACTGAGCGATAAATTACAGTTATTATATATATATATAGGCTGGCAGTAATGATAATAACAATAATATTAACATCTCTATACGGAAAGATACATAGCTGAATCTACAGATTGTCATATTGCATCAAGCATAGAGTAACAGTGCCTAAATATGCACACAAAAATGAATAAGATAGAATATACACAAGGTAATAATATTTACTCGACCTACGAGTTTCTTGAAAGAATAGAGTTAATTTAAGCAAACAGTCACATTACAAACTAAATAAGGTATTGTATTGTAGTTTTTATACTAAGTAATACGTGCATAGAGTTTTATGTACCTGTGACTTATCCTTCCTGATGGCCGATACACAGACAGCTATGAGTGAAATGAATGCTGGTCATCTGATTAAATAACTTCTCCAAGATGTTTACATGAGTTAAGATGTTTGTCCACAATAGTTTCAGTTAGAATGCTTACAGATATGTCACTAATTTTGCTGACAGTCTTTAAATTTCTACGCAATACAGCATAGTCCCCTTTCAACAACAAGGGAAAGAATAAAGATGAACAGTAAAGAAAAATAGGTAGGATGAAGGAGTTTATAAAACACAAGAAAACGTCATACCATCTACCTGGAAAGATATAAAGATAGTCCCCTTATCTAAGTCAAGGACTCCATGTACATGCCTGAAATTCTGTCAAACTGCAGTTACTTCTCTGCTCTTGAAAACAATAGAAAAGCTAATAATACCTGTGCTCGGACCCTCACCGAAGGCTTTTGGAGACCCTAACCAGTACTGCTTGTAATCTTGATAGAAATGGAAAGTATATCAAGTCTGCCTTTTAAGACCATACTTCGACATTCAATTCTGTCCCAAGACCTCTCTTGCTGGACAAGCTAACTGGGATCCAGGTACACTCGAGTGAAGACTGAGTCCCGAATAGGAACAAAACAGGTGTCCTAGATACCAACGCTAGCCACCAAACCACCTATAATGTATCCTTCTATCACTGGATAACTTAAGACCACGCCTAACGTAGTTACAGCTATTTTGGCAGCAATAAGAAACCCTAAAGACATCATCGTGTTGTTGACTACAAGCTAGTTAGGTATGGAAGATGACCTATACTGTCCGAAAGGTAGAGGAATGTAGCTCTGTCAAAATAGTTAACTACAACATTAGATCATTTAGGTTAGTGTCAATTCATCAACGAACAATGATTAGCGATAAAAAATAAAAATAATCGTGTTGGATACCAGATGACTGAGTGACAGTAAGTTGAAGGTACTAAGCAAAACAGGCAAGTCGACTGACGAGATGGCTTGGACATGTACTGCGTATTCCCAGCCACCGTCTACCTCAATGTGCCGTATTGCAGGAAGTTGGATTACGTTGGAAGAGAGTTTAGAGTGGCCAGAATAAGACATGAAACCAGTCGATGAAGTCCCTCACTGCAGGTGTGAGTCGTGTGGAATGAGGCAGACTGGCCGGTTGGAGGACTTTTGGTGACATGGATGAAATCCGGTCACAGTGGCGCAGATGTACGTACTCATTGACATCTAAAGCTTGAATATTTGCACTAATCTTCATCTTCAGATTGTTTATTCTGTCACAAAGCGTTTCCTACTTTGATACCAGTCTTTTTCCATCTACCTATTCTTTCTGTACTACCGTGAAATGTGGAAACCTGAGATGCTGCACTCGTGTGCAAGGTTCTGCGTTTGATTTTGTCAGTCAGTCAGTTAAATATCAGTAAATCTGACAGGATGTATTGCGGTTCATTCTTGCTGTCAACCTCTAAATTGAATGCTGTGTACTGACATGATTCACTGTGGCACCTTAAAAGTACCAGCGACTGAGAATACAATGTGATTTTTACGGATGGAGCGCGTCATCCTCGTGATATATCCTGGCTGGTAATCTTTTGTTATAGAAATGCTGAACCAAAAATTGCTAAGTACTTAGG